TGCAGACCGACCACGTGTTCCTATGATGTCCACCTGCGCTAGGTCGTCTGCATGTGCGCTGACGCCGTGGATGAAGAGGACCGGCTCGCTGCGCGGAAGATCTCGCAGAGGAACCAGATTCAGATCGCCATCCACGTGGAAGCCGGGATCCGACACACCAAACGTCACGTCCTCATTCCCCGCACAGTCGTCAAACTCAACTGGAAGGAGCACACAGAGACCAGTATGTATTTATGCATCAATCCAAACAAATTACAAACATCATAAATAAGAAGAAAAATCCCCATGAAACTCCGAGTCACTGAGGTATTCCCTCATTGTACAGAGCTCGAGGAGCTGTCAAACAATGCAGAAAAAACAGTTGCATTTCTCAGATATAAACATGTGCCCTGAAGATAAACAGTTACCCTGAAGAAAGAGTGGGATGTTCTGGAAGGCTCTGTCAGCTAGGCTACAATAAACTCACTGATCTCTTTTCATACGAGCCAGCTGCAATATTTATGACTCACCGCACGCTACGCGCTGCCGACTTATTAATGTTTCTGACTTGCTTTCGTGGTACGCTTTGTTTTATTAAAGAGAAAACGGTGGCAGGGCTGAGAAACAAAAGACAGAGAAGTGTCACCTCTGCGTGCACGTGTGGGCTTGCCTTCTCCGACTGAGTTACTGCCAAGGACTCGACCAAGCTTTATCCCCTCTGATCATGTTCATCCTCGCTTTATCTCTCTCACACACTCCCCTAGGTGTTGCAACATGATCCCCATGTACTCCCCCACCATCACCCCTGACAATCCTCACCTCCCTCATCCTTCACCTTCTCTTTGCCTCAGCCTCCTGTAATGAATCCGACTGTTAGGGAGGATAAGTGAGGGAAGAGGGGCAGGAAGTCTGCATGTGTGGATGCTGTCGTTTGTTGCAAACATGGAAGCTTATTTAAGTCTCATCATCTCTTTTTAAAAAATTCTGTTTGATGTCAGGACGGGAGCTGAACTGGAATCATTCCATACGGTTAGCATTATTAATCAAGTCACGTGGTTCTGGACTCACACGTCTGCAAAAGCCAGTTAATTCATAATTAAAACAAAGATAAATGTACATGAAAAAGACTTAAAAAGACTTCTCTGGGATGGCAGCGTCCTACGTGATTCAATCCACCGCTTATCTTAACTCATATAAAGAACTCTGTAGTTATTCATGAAGGAAATCTTTCACAAAACGCCCCAAAAGCCTCACTGCTGTGCGTTGCCTTCACAATGGGGACTCAGAGGCCATCGCTCTGAGGAAGAAACGGCTTCAGATGAGACGTATTTATCGTGTTTCTCAAAGCAACTTTGAAGATAAAGCTCAGCTTCAGTGCAGAGGCTGCAAGCTTTCTCTGCAAAGTTAAACCTAATGTTCAACTTTCTCTGTCTGTATGTTAAATGCTGTCTAAATCAATTTGTGATTAAATATGTCAGACTGCCAGTCTCAACACGTGCCAACGAAGCAAACTTTTCTTTGTGACCCCGTCTGTTCCTCTGTGAGGCCTCGAAGCTTTCTGGTTGGTGGAGCTGATCGATTCAACTGGGAGCACCTGGCCAGTCTCCCTGAAGCATTTAATTGAATGCTTTTTCAAGCTGGAAGCTATGCAGACCCTTTGACATAACCTATGCGTGTTGCCAGCATTTATACCTGTGCGACTGTCGCAGAGAGGTGCAGGGTTTCAGAAAGGTTTGCAGCCACAGCAAAGCTACTGTGCAGCGTGGTTTAATCCGTCTGCCAGCCTTTGTTCTCGCTCTTCATCCACCCAGCACCAGACTGGTCGTTCGATTGGCTTCAGCCACATTGATTTACAATTCAAACCATT